AATGCTGGAACTAACCTGTCAATTTGAGGATTTTTTATGCAATCTTCTATCAACTAATTGCACTTTATGCAATTATAGACTGTCTACAGCTCTCTAAGTAATTTATTATTTGATAATTTTTTATCAAGTTGACTGTTTATTTTTCCTAAAACCTTAAAATCATACTGTAAATTTCTAAACATTGTCAAACTATTATTATTTGTTTAATTTACATGTGCCCCTTATATTAGATTTATTCTAATTTTGTTTTATCTTTCAGATTTTGAATATGTCAATTCATTAAGTGTGTACGAGCTAAAACAAATTGTGATCTACAATCAGTTCAATGAAAACTACTTCGCAACAAGTCAACCTAGTGCATTTTGAATCATCTCATTTTGGAATTTTCATCATGTTCAATTTTCTGAATTCTGTTTCGTCCTGGTGAGTATATATTATACTTTTTCTTTATAATAGACTTTATCGTTTTGGATCAATAATGGCTTATAATAATTTTGTTTTTGAAATTGAACAAATTGAAAATTATGTGTTGTTTTAGCATTTTAATATCAGGGTTCACATACATTTAATGATAAGCTATCAATATGTCTGTTTATTGTATTTTAATAAATTAAATATCCAATTAAATTTAGATATAGTGTTAGGAATTTTTATAATCGAACCCTTTGTTGTATTTAGGACTATGATATTTGAACATTATAGAATGAAAGATGTTAGAATTGAAGGGTTATATCGAGCCAGTATATTTCATTAGACTCGTTATAACCTTTCCATTTCAGGATCTCATTTTAATGCATCGGACACTCAAATGATAATTTGTACCATTATTAATTGTACATAGCCATATTGACATTAAGGTAAATGTTTATCACTGTAAATTGAATGTTTGACTACTACCATAGAAATGTTACCTAGGTTCATAAATGTTGTCAATGTCAATCAGTCTTTAAATTATAATATTCACCATGATTATGAATATAAGTAATATCTTTCAATCTCGGTCTATTACTGTTTTTTTGTAACCACTACTGTGAGTATACATTAAATCATATCACAATTTATCCAATTTATAATGTTATGGCTATATGATAATGGAAGAAACAACATGTCCTCTGTTTTGAAAAGAACAACATGTGTACAATTAAAATAATTGATCTACAAATTGAAGGGTTATCTCTGGCGGGTGTAAATAAAATGCTGGAAATAACCTGTCAATTTGAGGATTTTTTATGCATTCTTCTATCAACTAATTGCACTTTATGCAATTATAGACCGTCTACAGCTCTCTAAGTAATTTATTTTTTGATAGTTTTTTATCAAGTTGACTGTATATTTTTTCTAAAAGCGTAAAATCATACTGTAAATTTCTAAACATTGTCAAACTATTATTATTTGTTTAATTTACATGTGCCCCTTATATTAGATTTATTCTAATTTTGTTTTATCTTTCAGATTTTGAATATGTCAATTCATTAAGTGTGTACGAGCTAAAACAAATTGTGATCTACAAGCATTTCAATGAAAACTACTTCGCAACAAGTCAACCTAGTGCATTTTGAATCATCTCATTTTGGAATTTTCATCATGTTCAATTTTCTGAATTCTGTTTCATCCTGGTGAGTATATATTATACTTTTTCTTTATAATAGACTTTATCGTTTTGGATCAATAATGGCTTATAATAATTTTGTTTTTGAAATTGAACAAATTGAAAATTATGTGTTGTTTTAGCATTTTAATATCAGGGTTCACTTACATTTAATGATAAGCTATCAATATGTCTGTTTATTGTATTTTAATAAATTAAATATCCAATTAAATTTAGATATAGTGTTAGGAATTTTTATAATCGAACCCTTTGTTGTATTTAGGACTATGATATTTGAACATTATAGAATGAAAGATGTTAGAATTGAAGGGTTATATCGAGCCAGTATATTTCATTAGGCTCGTTATAACCTTTCGATTTCAGGATCTCATTTTAATGCATCCAACACTCAAATGATAATTTGTACCATTATTAATTGTACATAGCCATATTGACATTAAGGTAAATGTTTATCACTGTAAATTGAATGTTTGACTACTACCATAGAAATGTTACCTAGGTTCATAAATGTTGTCAATGTCAATCAGTCTTTAAATTATAATATTCACCATGATTATGAATATAAGTAATATCTTTCAATTTCGGTCTATTACTGTTTTTTTGTAACCACTACTGTGAGTATACATTAAATCATATCACAATTTATCCAATTTATAATGTTATGACTATATGATAATGGAAGAAACAACATGTCCTCTGTTTTGAAAAGAACAACATGTGTACAATTAAAATAATTGATCTACAAATTGAAGGGTTATCTCTGGCGGGTATAAATAAAATGCTGGAAATAACCTGTCAATTTGAGGATTTTTTATGCAATCTTCTATCAACTAATTGCACTTTATGCAATTATAGACTGTCTACAGCTCTCTAAGTAATTTATTATTTGATAATTTTTTATCAAGTTGACTGTTTATTTTTCCTAAAACCTTAAAATCATACTGTAAATTTCTAAACATTGTCAAACTATTATTATTTGTTTAATTTACATGTGCTCCTTATATTAGATTTATTCTGATTTTGTTTTTTTTTTCAGATTTTGAATATGTCAATTCATTAAAAGTGTATGAGCTAAAACAAATTGTGATCTACAAGCAGTTCAATGTAAACTACTTCGCAACAAGTCAACCTAGTGCATTTATAATCATCTTATTTTGGAATTTTCATCATGTTCAATTTTCTGAATTCTGTTTCGTCCTGGTGAGTATATATTATACTTTTTCTTTATAATAGACTTTATCGTTTTGGATCAATAATGGCTTATAATAATTTTGTTTTTGAAATTGAACAAATTGAAAATTATGTGTTGTTTTAGCATTTTAATATCAGGGTTCACATACATTTAATGATAAGCTATCAATATGTCTGTTTATTGTATTTGAATAAATTAAATATCCAATTAAATTTAGATATAGTGTTAGGAATTTTTATAATCGAACCCTTTGTTGTATTTAGGACTATGATATTTGAACATTATAGAATGAAAGATGTTAGAATTGAAGGGTTATATCGAGCCAGTATATTTCATTAGACTCGTTATAACCTTTCCATTTCAGGATCTCATTTTAATGCATCGGACACTCAAATGATAATTTGTACCATTATTAATTGTACATAGCCATATTGACATTAAGGTAAATGTTTATCACTGTAAATTGAATGTTTGACTACTACCATAGAAATGTTACCTAGGTTCATAAATGTTGTCAATGTCAATCAGTCTTTAAATTATAATATTCACCATGATTATGAATATAAGTAATATCTTTCAATCTCGGTCTATTACTGTTTTTTTGTAACCACTACTGTGAGTATACATTAAATCATATCACAATTTATCCAATTTATAATGTTATGACTATATGATAATGGAAGAAACAACATGTCCTCTGTTTTGAAAAGAACAACATGTGTACAATTAAAATAATTGATCTACAAATTGAAGGGTTATCTCTGGCGGGTGTAAATAAAATGCTGGAAATAACCTGTCAATTTGAGGATTTTTTATGCAATCTTCTATCAACTAATTGCACTTTATGCAATTATAGACCGTCTACAGCTCTCTAAGTAATTTATTTTTTGATAGTTTTTTATCAAGTTGACTGTATATTTTTTCTAAAAGCGTAAAATCATACTGTAAATTTCTAAACATTGTCAAACTATTATTATTTGTTTAATTTACATGTGCCCCTTATATTAGATTTATTCTAATTTTGTTTTATCTTTCAGATTTTGAATATGTCAATTCATTAAGTGTGTACGAGCTAAAACAAATTGTGATCTACAATCAGTTCAATGAAAACTACTTCGCAACAGGTCAACCTAGGGCATTTTGAATCATCTCATTTTAGAATTTTCATCATGTTCAATTTTCAGAATTCTGTTTCATCCTGGTGAGTATATATTATACTTTTTCTTTATAATAGACTTTATCGTTTTGGATCAATAATGGCTTATAATAATTTTGTTTTTGAAATTGAACAAATTGAAAATTATGTGTTGTTTTAGCATTTTAATATCAGGGTTCACATACATTTAATGATAAGCTATCAATATGTCTGTTTATTGTATTTTAATAAATTAAATATCCAATTAAATTTAGATATAGTGTTAGGAATTTTTATAATCGAACCCTTTGTTGTATTTAGGACTATGATATTTGAACATTATAGAATGAAAGATGTTAGAATTGAAGGGTTATATCGAGCCAGTATATTTCATTAGACTCGTTATAACCTTTCCATTTCAGGATCTCATTTTAATGCATCGGACACTCAAATGATAATTTGTACCATTATTAATTGTACATAGCCATATTGACATTAAGGTAAATGTTTATCACTGTAAATTGAATGTTTGACTACTACCATAGAAATGTTACCTAGGTTCATAAATGTTGTCAATGTCAATCAGTCTTTAAATTATAATATTCACCATGATTATGAATATAAGTAATATCTTTCAATCTCGGTCTATTACTGTTTTTTTGTAACCACATCTGTGAGTATACATTAAATCATATCACAATTTATCCAATTTATAATGTTATAGCTATATGATAATGGAAGAAACAACATGTCCTCTGTTTTGAAAAGAACAACATGTGTACAATTAAAATAATTGATCTACAAATTGAAGGGTTATCTCTGGCGGGTGTAAATAAAATGCTGGAAATAACCTGTCAATTTGAGGATTTTTTATGCAATCTTCTATCAACTAATTGCACTTTATGCAATTATAGACCGTCTACAGCTCTCTAAGTAATTTATTTTCTTCATAGTTTTTTATCAAGTTGACTGTATATTTTTTCTAAAACCATAAAATCATACTGTAAATTTCTAAACATTGTCAAACTATTATTATTTGTTTAATTTACATGTGTCCCTTA